CTATATATTATGGGAACCATTCCTATATATTATGGGAATCATGCCGATATTACAGTTATAATTATAGGTATCGTTCCTATAATTATAGGAACCATTCCCATAATTATAGTAATGCTTCCCAAAAATTATGGGTATAATTCCCATAATTTAAGTAATCGCTCCTAAAATGGTATAGGAAAATATTTCATTAAAATTATAGGAATGATTTCCACATTTTTCTCTCCGTGTAGTTTAATATTGATTATTCTCATGAAAATTATTTAAAAATAAAATATCAGTTTTCGAATAATCTTTACTTCCAAGCCCAAAGATAATTTACATTTATTTTTAATAACTTTGAACTCAGGAAAGAAGTTCATTTACAAAAAAAATTTAGTTACAGTGGTCATATATAGTGGGTCTTAAGGTCTGAATCTCAAAACTTTTTATCTTTTTTATTATAACAATAAAAAAATTTTTAAACCAGAGTTTTATTTATTTATGTAATAAAAAATATCACTACATCAAATAATTCAACAATTTTTTATTGAAATAACTCGTAGATAATTGGATTATTCAATAAAATTAATTAATTTAGTTTATCAATAAACGGAATCCATTTAATCACTTTACACGAGCAGAATAAACACCGATAAAAAAATAGTGCGAGTGTTTTGCCGGTTGAGGTTTTATTTTTTTGCCTTTATTGATATACCGATTAATAATAATAATAATAATTTTACTCATCTATCTGGCTATCACTGTAGCTGATCAATTTCGAACATTGATAATAATTAATAAGTTGTATTCACAAGTATACGGATATTAAATTCCTACATCATTTAAAAAATACTTTCTTAGACAAAAATTAATAATCTTAAAAAAAAAACTGCAATAGCTCTTAAAAATAAATTATTATTAGTAGTATGTAATTATAAACTAGACGGTAATTTTGATTTATCTTTATTTTGTTAGCAATAGAATTAGCACAATCTCAGATTTTTATTTTTATTTGAAATTTAGTAAAAATTCTACATTTTTTTCTCCATGTAACTTCAAAATTTAATTAAATGCTGATTATTAAGAAGTACAATTTTTTCAGTCAATAAATATAAAAAATAATGTTCCAAAAAAATATCGATTACTTAACGTATACATTGGGTAAAAAAAATTTACTTTTTAAAGCTTAGCATTAAAAATTATTCGCGAAACTATGAGACTGATATCAGCAAATGAATAAATTTTTTACAAAATAAATTTATATAAAAATAAGTATTCTAAAAAAATTGCTTATTCAGTTTTTTTTAAATATTATAAAGTTAATTTCTTCATTATTTTATTTGAAATTTATTTTAAGAAAAAAAAAGTGGTATAAATAATTCTAAATATTAAAAATAGATCAGATAGAGCCCTAGGCAGATTTAAAAAGTGAAATTTATAATTAACCTGATCACAATAGTGTCATAAAAATAGTGAATTGTAAAAATAACGATATGAATTAGAATGTAAAAAAATATTACCTTATCTTCGATAATTTTATTGTAATTATTATCATCGTCCTCGAGCTCATTATTAGGAACATTAGCAGCGCCGTAAGATACACCAGGATCCCCAGCATTTAATTGATCAGTTAACTGATCAAATCTTACACCTGCTGATAAGTGGTACTGGTATAGGATAACACATACGCCGACTAAAGCAACTACTCCAACCTTCATTGAGGGCTTCATTGTATCGATACCTGAAATTTACAGCACAAGCTTGTGTTTACAATATCCTCTAACAAGTCCGCTACTTCACTACTCTCTACTATATTATTCTATCTGATCATTGCAATTGTAACAAAAGCTCTGCAGCTAATTCTCGATTTTACTAGTAGAGTTTAACTAAATGTTTACTATTCCGACCCAATGTTGATTCATCTGTAAAGATACAAGACCTCACTGAAAATTTGAATTATTTTTACGTTTCGCAACTTTAATATTCTCATCCGGTTCAGTCTACAAAAGTAAGATAGTCTAAATATAATATATATACATATAGATGTTTGTTGATTCAGTGGCGATGTATAGTGACCGATGGTTTGTTGGTTTAGTAGTATTCTCAAGCGCATTATATCATTTATTATCAAACATCCGGAGATAATGAGTCGCCGCCTACTAACTTTCAAACTTTTTCTGATGTTAGCTTTTCCGTTTTATAACATTGTGACTATTTGTATTTTTTTTTTTATTAAATTTACTCATTAATTATTCAGCGTTATATTGCTTTATTTATATTTTTGCATGACTTGTCACGTACTAGTTTTTTTAATGGTACACGCTAAACTCATTGGCAATGTCGGCTTTGCAATTTCTAGTGTGTCCGTAATTGAACACTTGTGTCGACTTGGATGCCTAATTCTTATTTTTTTCAAAATTGTTCAAAAATTGTTCAAAAATTTTGGTATTTATCATGTATCGAATATTTGGAAATGATGATAAATATTTCGTACGGCAACAGGAAATTAAAAAATTTTTATCTAACTTTAAATACAGATCTACTTTATATTCTTCATTGTAAATTGATATTTTTTCCTATCGGAATTTCGCTAAAATATCTTTACTGAGTATCGTGTTTTAATTAAAATTAATGATTTTTTTTATTTTTTTCTAATTTATAAAAATAACTGATATTTTTACTGAGAAATTAAAATATATAATTCTGTGTAAATATTTTCTCTCTGAATGTAAAGTAGGATATTCTAGCTTTGAAATAATTTTATATGAACTATGAATTTACATTAATTACTGAACTCAGGTAGTAGAAAAAAAATGTAAAAAAATCAGTCTTCCATCCCTTTAATTTTATACTTAATTAGGTAAAAATTTTTATCAGTGAAAGAATGTTGAATAAATTATTTCGCTAAAAGCTTTAAAGGAAAAAAAAATAATCAAGACAGAACTCTTGAATTCTTCATATCGATTCATATTAAATTTCCTTCCTTTTAATAAATTATTTTTTCAAAAAAAATAAAATGATGGTTAAAAAAATGAAAAAAATATTTGAATAATTATTTAAAAATATTATATAAAAAAAATAGAATTTGCAAGTCAGCATATGTGTATCATGGCTGAAACGTTTAAGTGCTTAGAACGTAAGTATACGTGTATCAGGTCAAAAAAGTAAGAGAACACATAGTAAGCATTTTTCATTAAGTTTTTATTGTCGTGTCACGGTAATCGTCAATCTTTTCTTTATAGTATGCCATATAATAGCGAGCAATCTGATCCGATAGGTTTTATTAATTAAATTTTTTTAGTCTTCTAAAGCCATGTATCAGCAATACTATTATATTGAGTACGTTGAATTTTAGATAAGACTTAATCCGGATTTGCACAAGTATTAGTGTTTGCATTAAAGTTCTGTATAACTTTCAAACTAATGTTAATTCTAAATTTATCGAGCTATGAGACTTAGCATTAATTCCAATGATCGAATAAATAGTTAAGTATATGGGTGATTCTCTGTAAGGACGTCTTAAATCTGTACAAAACGGTCCGACCAAATTTTTTTTGATTTTATTAGAAAAAAAATTAACAAGGACTACAAAACTATCAGCTTAATCGTAATAAATAAACAGCCGAATTAATTTTTGCTTTTTCGATATTTGTGTATCTTTTGCATGCGTAACATGATAGGGGACTGATTTTTTTTTATCAAATTGAGAAAAATGAAGCAAACTATTTCAATGTATTCAACTTTTTAAGTTCTCAATGAATGTTTACATTAATTAGAATAATATTAAGACTTATGGATCCAATTTTATAAATAAATTATAAACAAAAATAGCTGCCAGGGGACTGAGTTTTGAAGTGGCCCAGACACATATTTCCAGCACAAACGGTGCTTTAACACTAAATAAAATGGCGATAAAGCGCTAACAGCTCTATGGTTATTAACTTAAGGCTAGTTAGATCCTTATAAACCTTACAAAAGGTAAAATAACACGTTAGACTTTTTTTTTTTGGCTTTGAACTTCTGGCAGGGGACTGATCGCAAATGCCTGAGACATACTTTGATTTAATGAATTTAATGAAACAAATTAACTTTCGGTACTTTTTATTGAAGAAGATTGTTAGTTAACTAATTAAGTTTATAAACATTATGGACCAAATTACATATTATTGACGAATAACTTAAAATTTAATCTTAAAGTTTTAATTTTAGGACTGGGACAGCCCAGGGGACTGAGATTTTGGTGGTTTACGAATTTATAGCAAAAAAACCAAAATTTATTCCATTTTAGTTTTCAATGCTCCAAATAAAAATGTTTTTTTACTTTCGTAATAAATTTTTTTTAGTAACAAAATAACAATTTTTCTAATAAAAAAATGCCTGGGACAGCAAAAAACATCCTTACAGAGAATCACCTATATATCGATAGTTGATTCAATACAATCTATATTTAATTATTATTTTTAAAATAACATAGATCATAGTATCTAGTATCTAGTGGTTAATAATATTCTGTAAGGTTCTATAAGTTATAAACATTCTCGTCTTTAATGGAATAAAAATCAATAACTAAGATTACTAAAATGGTAGCGTGTTCAAACTTCCTTGGAATCTCAACTAAACGTTCACAGTAACTCTCTTGTAAACTTTGAGATATCTAACTACATAACAAATAATCGCGTTCCTTGAATGCTCAATCTCTTTCAAAGCAGTTAATAGTTGATAGTTATTTAAAAAAAAAAAAAAAAAAAAAAAAACTATTTTAACAATAAGATTTCTGTAAACCGTTCATTTCTTACGCTGATATTTAAGTAACTTATTTGATTATTTTAAAGTTTTATTTCTAGATATTGCTTAAATAATTTACATGTGCTATAAAAGTAAAAGACATTTCAATGAATAATATATTGTTTTAAGACAATTTTCAGTTAGTCGCTATTTTCAGTCGATATACATTTGTAGTAAAGTAAATACAGTTTCAGCCAGAAATAAACGTACAATTGACAGTTCATTTTACATATTGTATAGCTTTATAAATTTATCTGAGGTATAAACTTAAAAATACCCTTAAATCTTCAACAAGATTGTAATTGTTGTAATAAATTAATCTAGGTTTGACAGCATAGCTCGGTTGGTTGGAATTTCCATCCAGTAACTGTCAAGTACGCGTGGAAGTAATTAAAATTTTTCTGTAGCCATGTGAAATGTTAGATTAATGAAGCAGTTAATTTGAAGAATTCATCGATAAAACATTTCTTTATTTAGTTAAACAATTAAAATGCTTATAAATGTCAGGATTGAATGAAAATGTTTTATTATCATTTAATTGTAATAGATCTTGTTTTCTTTTATAAATATTTATATAAATATTCTCTTTACTTGGAAAAATATTTTTACTATTTTTAAAAGTAAAAGTAAAAATTGATTATTTTTCAATCTGATTGTTAACTTGGGGAAAAATGAATGTTATTAGTTATCATAAGTCCATTATGTAATTTTCAGACTTTTTATTTTTCCTCAGAAAAAAAAACGGCAATTAATATAAAATTAAATTAGTTATAAAGCTCTACACTTAAATAATTAAGCTGAATTTAACTACTTTTCTTATAATAACAAATTTAATTAAACATCTCAAAGTTCATTGACCCTGAAGTGTATAAACATAGCCTGTAATAATATACTCCTGTAAACGGTGATATTGCTTATGCGCAAACATTCACACAATTCAATTTGCAATTTTGTCGATTGTTTACTCAATCAACTTGTATTTTGTTCTATCAAATGCTTGCTGTATAATACATGCAATAAATTAATTTACCTATGACCTATTCCAAGAATTTTTTATCTTTCGGAAAATAATTAAATATTTTTTTTGCGTTAACGTCATAGTTATATGTTTAATTAATAACGAGCATGAAGCTTCTGGTACTGTTTGCGGTTGAATGTTGGCAAATAATAAAATTGAATATCACATAGTAAACACATTCAGTTATAATAATAATAATAATAATAATTGGTGGTTATTTTATTTGGTTAGTGAGGTCAACTGATAAGTCGGCTAAAAAAAACTAAAATAACTAAACTAGCACATGCTGTTTCACACGGAACGGATAATAGTAAAAAAAGTAACCAAAGTCAAGGAGACTGAATGAATTAGACTATGAGTAAAAGGGTTATCGAATTTCGATTTAGACTAGGTCTTTCGCTCGTATCTCGCGTCAACAATTTAACGATTTTTTAATTCTGTTACTGCCTAATTTTCATTTTCACCCGCTATATTCTATTTTTATTATTTACTTTTGGATATTGTTAATGCTTACATTTAACATATTTAGTTTCTATAATATTTCAATTTAAAGTTAGAGTTATCTACACGGAAAAAAGTAATAAATAACAGTCGATTTATAATAAGTAATGATCAACTGCTAAAAATTACCATTTCAAACATTAAAATCGTGATTTTACTATTCACTTTATAATATTTACCATTTAAACGTTACAATTTACTCTTTATATGGAAGAAAATACTATTTCAAACAGTAATATTCGCTATGTAAATGTCTGAAAATGTTAAAGTATAATAATTAACAATTCAGACATTGATATTTATCATTTGGTACCTAATAAATAATCGCAATGATATGTAAAAAGTATAAAATAAAGTTAGTAAATTTATAATACAAGCAACGTCAATATTTACAAAGTAAAATGGTAAATTTTAAACGCAACGCTA